TGTCAGGCGGTCGGTCATGCTGAGGTCGACACACAGACGCAGTCCTGCTGCTCTGGCCTCCTCCAGTCTCTCTTTGGTAACGGCTTTAATCACACGTTTACTGAGCTGCAGCTCATTCACATCTGCAACACACACATCCAATCAATTAGAAAACACTCTTGGTTCCAGATCATAATGCAATATCCTCTTGAGACCCAGGAATAGGCATTTTGCCTCGGTTGAGGACATTATATTTTAGCGAATTTCTCTGAATGTCACAGTTTTAAGTCTGAATGTCCTGTAAAGAGCACATTCAGGACCCTTTATGGAAACTTTATGGGCACTCTTATGGAAATATTATCATTTAAATTTGTTTGTCAGAAATCAACATCTCAGGAAAATGTTATGGGGTTTCAAATCAGAATATGACTTTCTGTTACGAAACACGGCATTGATTTCATACATGTGCTCTTTAGAGACATCAGGACTTAAATCATGTTTATCAGGCATTTTGGGAGACACAACAAGTGACTTAAACTGAAAAATTATTATGAAATATGAGATATTCTTACACATATTATTACACATCTTTCTTCATCACAGGTTGTCCCAAGAACACATAAATATGCAAATTAGGTACAGTTATAGATGCATTGGATATAATGAGAATGGCATTTATGGCCATGTTTACATGCATATTGCATAAAGTTATGGTATATCAATTCAATCTGTTATATCTTTATATATTTTTTTCAAATATGTCTTAAATCCATTTGTTTCTTAATGAACTCTTTCTATAATTCTAAATAAGTCTTTTCTGCTCACAAAGGCTGCATTTATTTCATTAAAAATACAGTAAAAACAGTAATATTTGGAAATATAGTTACTAATCAAATTAGCTGTTTTTTATTTGAATATATAATGTAAAATGAGTTTTCGACATCATTGTCACACGATCCTTCAGAAATCATAGTAATATGATGATTTGCTGCTCAATAAACATTTCTGAGATTATTATCAATGTTGAAAACAGTCGTGCTGCTTTAATTTTTGTGGAAATTGTTATGTATTTATATCCTATTGAGACTCTTGAGATTAATAAAACAGCATTATTTAAAAGCATAAATATTTAGTAACATTATAAATGCCTTTACGGTCATCCATTACTTGAAATCACTTTATATTTGACGTGTGTGAAAGGGACATAAAAACATTTATGACCCTATCACACATTCTTATTTTATATTAATTTCAAATTTTAATTATATATATATATATATAATTGACGTTTATGATAGGGACATGATAATGTACATAAGTTTGACCCTGTTAGGTCACCTTTATTTAGTCTGTTGAGCTTCTTTCTTTGTTTCTCCTCTTTTCTTTTTCTCCTTTTTACCTCCAGTCTTCTCTCCCAGTTACGCTGTTTGCGTGTGACATTTTTCTGTAGAAGTATTACAATCAGTGACACAGCGTCTGTAAATGAACTCAATAGTCTCAATGACTCATCCTCTTACAGAGCACGAGGTTTCCTCTCTGTCAGCGCTCGCGGGCTCGAGCTCCACATCGATGCGCAGAAACTCCAGTAAATCTGCGACCGCAGCGTCGTTTAGTTTCGACGCTCCGTCAGAGTAACAGCAGCTCTCGTGTAACGCTTCTTCCATCTGTTTTATGTCTAAAGTCAGATGAATGTATATCCCCCACAAAGCAACGTAAAACACATCTATCAAAACTGTATGGCAGGAGAAAAAAATGATGACCTCGGATACTGATAAAGTGAAAGTAAGGTGCTATGCTGTTAAAGATCGTCTCTTCCGACAAACTGAAAGAGCAAGTAACAAATAACTGATATACATTAGATCTATATACAAAGAAAAAGATACAGCGATCCTGAAACACTTTTTATAGACCCTGCAAACGACATAAACTCCACAACTGCTAATGTTTTCAACTCGAGAGAGTCGGGCGCACTGTTATGACGTAACGGTCACGCTGTTGCTACTTTGGACGCATTTTGCAGGAAAGGATACTATATAATACATTTAGTTTTAGTTTTTGCTAAATATACATCATACATAAATATAAGCACAGTAAAACCAACCTTTGTTTTTGGTTCTTGAAAAATAAACTAAAATATAGGCCCACAGTTCTGACGGCACATTTTTCAAGCCAATACATTTTCAATACAATCAATATGATTTAATATAACATAGCCTATATACATTCTTATTTTATTCTCGTGTTATCGTTTGACGTGTATGTATTTATTTCTGAACATCTACTTATACGTTTTTCATTATTTGTTGAAGTGTGTACTGTTTAAAACAAAACAAAAAAAACATCAGTAAATCAAATGAAATTTTTTACTGGTATTTGCCAAATGTCATATTCGCTGGAACAAATTTAGTAACCAAAAGCTGTTTTCTGGTTATTAAATCACACATATCCACATTCTAACTGTCCAGCAAGTGTTACGTGTTGATGTTTTGTTTGTTTACATGTTTTTGTACATTACTTTTTACATTATTTTACCATTTTTATTCGTATATTTGTACCGTTATATTTCACTGGTATATATATATATTTTTTTTTTAAAAAGAAGAGAAAAAGTAGAGTATTTTGTCATTTTACCAGATGCTTTTATTATCCAAAGGGACTTTGAAGTATAAAACATGAGTGATTCATCATCATCATAAAGATTGTATCATCAATGTTGTAGTACAAACCCTAATAAACAAATAGTTTATTACAGAAGTCTTTTCTGATAAGTGTCTTTGTTGAGAAATGCACATGTGATCAAAGGGACTTTCATGTGTTTCTTTGTTTGAAATAAAACCTCATTCATGCAATCCACCAATTCTCCAAACCAGCATCAAATGTGTGTCATCCAGTCAGACGAGGAGCTGCTGGAAAAACAAAACCTTGCCAACAATATCTCATTGTCAAATGAATGTAAACATAAAAACAAACAATGTGGACAGAATTGCATTTGTAAGCACTTCTTATTTTTTGCGAATAGGAAGCTGTGGGTTGTTGTGAAGCTGGCGGTTTTGTGAAGGATGAAGTGTGGTAATATTCATATCTGCTGAATTCTGTTAAATCTTTACAACAAAATCAAATTGATTTCAGGCCTGTCATGTGAAAGTCATGTACATGACTCAGATGTTCCTGCTACCGTTAATCAAAATGTTCTCAACTTTCTCACGAGCTACAAATGCACAACGTACAGATAAGAAATGAGCCTGTTATCGCTAATGTCTCTGGAGAATTTTATCCTATACATTTTGGGTGAATCAAACTGATTTATGAATTTTCATTTTCAGTGGCAAGTGTGATAGATAAAATCCCAGGAGAGCGGTTGGATTTATTGAACAAGTGAACTGTCAGAATCGTATATGATAGGACAGCCTATATTAAATATGTTTGGATAATGAATGAGGCTCATGATTTAGTGGGTCTCATTTAAACATTTGGACATTAAACCAAATTCGTATCTGTCTGGACTGAAACCATACATTGTAAAATTTGGGATGCAACAAAATCTCCTTATATTATCAATGTTATAAACAGTTGTGCCAGGTTTACACATACAAGGACAGAATGCCACTGACAAGACACAAATAATAAAAATAAATAAAAATAAAAATGAATAGAAAGTTCAAATGCACAGCGTTTAAGTAAGTATGGTGTTTTTTTTTACAAAAGAGAAATACGTGTGCATTCACAGAAAAGAAGTCAAGTCAAGTCAAGTCATCTTCATTTATATAGCGCTTTTAACAATGGAGATTGTTTCAAAGCAGCTTTACAGAGATAAACATACAATTTACGGTAACAGAGATTGTTTTGGCTTTATAGCGATTTTGAATAATTTTATTTCCGGCTAAAGTTGGTTTTGATTGATTCACTTCCAGCAAAATTATCATTTGTTATTACATTAGGGGCCACTAAGACGACGGCGTTCTCTCTAAACAGACTTTAAACGCGAACCTGTGACCGGATGGCGTTCACATGCGCATTAAAAATTGATTCTATTGTTATATTCGTTTGAATATGTGTGCGCAGGAACAACAAACACACATAATATAAAACAAAATACAACAATACAATAAATCAAGGAAAGGACCCAGTGAACAAATGTATTTTAAGACACTTTTTAAAAGTGCGATTGCGCGTGACTGTCAGGAAGAGAGATCCATGTTGGCACTGAAATGACTAAAGACCGCCAAATTGTAGCCATGATTTTGGTTCAACAAGTTACTATTGGATGTTCGGAGCGATCTTGCTGGAGAATATTTATCCAATAAATTAGAAAAGTATTTTGGGGCAGTACCATAAAGACGTTTAAAAACCAATAAGAGGATCTTGAATTCAATTCTGTATGATACAGGCCGCCAGTGAAGGGATCTGAGTAATGTGATTTCTCATTTTACAGCGAGTTAGCAGATTCGTGCAGCACCATTCTCAACTCTTTGTATAGAGCTCTTTGGTAACCCAGTAGTCAAGTCTAGATGTAACAAATGTATGAACAAGTTTCTCATTAGGCTGTTTTAGAAAAATTGCTTTAAAAAAAAAAAAAAAAACTGAGGTCCCTGTCAAGCATGATTCTTCAGTTCTTGACCTGGCTATACTGGCTTTTAGCGATAAAGAAGCAAGATATAGAGCAATAGATTGTTTCTCTACGACATTACTGATAACAAGTGAAGTACTTCTGTCTTATTTTTGTTCGGTAGTAGAAAGTTCTGTGACATTCACGATTTTATGGTCTCTTTTTATGCAGTCCAGAAGGGTGTAAATAGGTTGTTTTCATATGACGTCACGCCACTGCGCGAAATGCAAATGGAGGGCAGGAAGTGATTTGCTGTATTTAGAAAGCACTATAACAAACTCAAAATGCCTATGTTTTGCGTCGTTTATGGTTACTTAAATCGATCAAACTACGATGAGTTTTTATCGTGTACCAAAAGTTGTTGTTCATAAGGGGGGAAAATGCAAGAAATTGACCGAAAAACTCCGGAAAAACGGCTTGCAAACCTACGTCTGCGGTCGGGAGGAGCCGAATGGGAAAATACCCGTGTGTGCAGTGATCACTTCGTCAAAGGTGAGTTAATACAACTTAAGTGGCTATGTTTGTGTAACGTGTAACGTTTCCGAACTTTGTAAAGTCAAAGTATGTCTGTAAGACGAGGTAGTTGCTGATATCTACCGCCTCGATGGCAGGAAAATCTTTAAATTCAGTTGAAAAATCGCTCCTCTTCATAACGTAAGGATCACGTCCAACATATGTTTGATTTTTTGTTTATTTCTTTCTCTTGTAATAGCGTGTAAAGTAGTACAGTACGGACTTTCCTCCATCTCGTCCATTGCGCTCTTCACTCCCTGCCCTCCATCTGAATTTCGCGCGTCATCATAATCACGTGACTGAAACCCAGCTATTGAATTGTAGGCGTCTGGTCCAAGTGAAAGATAAGAGTCGCATGTCATCTGCATACTGGTGAAAACAAATATTGTACTGATGAATTACTCTAGCTAAAGGAGGCATGTAAAAGTTAAATAATAGAGGGCCCAAGACCGAGCCTTGAGGAACGCCACAAGATATGACGCAACATCTAGAGGTGTAACATAGCATTCCCTGCTGCTGCTTAAGTAGGATCTGAACCAGTCTAAGACTGGACCTGACCCGACACATTTATGTAGTCAGTTGAGTATCTCATGATCAGCAGTGTCAAGAAGCACTCAGAACAATGCTTGCCAAGTTACATGAGGTCTGAATTACTTGTAGATCATTTAAAACGTTTATCAAGGCTTTTTCTGTTCTGTTGTTTGCAAAGAAGCCAGACTGAAGTTTATTGGTGTCATTGAGCTGTATGGATACTATTTTTTCAATTAATTGACCAAGAAATGGAAGATTAGAGATTGGTCTGTTCCTATACGAGGAACAATTGCAGTTTTAAAAATGTGTGGAAAAACTCCTTGCGTAGGGACCGATTAACAATATTTATAGGATGTCTGGTAAAAAAACACTTCATAACTGTTTTGATAAATTAGCGGGAAATTTGTTGAGAAATCATCTAGAGGAATTCATAAGGGATAAGACCTGTGTAAGTGTATTGGCTGACAGCTAAGAAGTGGGACCAATTACATTGTAAGAGACTAGCTAGGGAGTTGGAGACCTTACAAGTTCAAGAAAAGGGAGCAGGATTTGATAAAAGAAAGGATTTATTAAAAAAACATCATCCATATATTCCACAACTTTTATACTTTTCAACAAACAACACTGAAAACTGATTGCAACAGTATACAATGAAAACAATGAATAGATGCAGTGTAACAGACTGTAGTGTAGCATATCATTTGGATCATGGTGTCTTGAAATCATTAGACATATCAATCAGAATGAGGGGCTCAGAATGCAAGAATACAAAAATCTTATTTTGCAAGAATTGACATTTAAGTGCTCTGTTTCAAAATATAGTGAGCTAAGGTGTCTTGTGAGTAGTGAGAATGAAAGTAATATTAGTACATAAATGTCTTCTACGCTTTCTTGACCACACGCTCTTTTTTCTCAATAAAGTGAACGAGTCTTTTAACCCATGGTGTCCTGGGGTTTAGACAGATCCTTTCTCCACTTGATAAACCAGCACTGAAAAAAACAAACAGAAAACAAGATTTATGTAGACGATTTTCAAAGATTGGGGTTGGTAAGATACTTTTATTCAACATGCACACATTAAATTAATCAATTCAATTCACATTTATTTGTATAGCGCTTTTCACAAAACACATCGTTTCGAAGCAGCTTTACAGAAAATGTCCTCATTACAACTTAGAGTGATCCGTTATCAGAGGGAACTGTCTAAGTTATGTATTTCAGAAATGTACACGTACAAAAATCACAGTTAGCTAAAAATGTATAAGTTTAAACAATGTAATCAATTAGAATCAAGAGTGTAAAGACATTTATAATTTTTATTAAATTAAAATTTCAAATAAATGTTTTTTTTTTAACTTTATATTTATCAAAGAATGATTATAAAAATGTATCATGGATTTCCCAAAAATATTATAAGCAGCACGACTGTTTTCAACATCGATAATAATGAGACATGTTTGTTGAGCATCAAATCATCATATTAGAGTGATTTCTGAAGGATCATGTGACTCTGAAGACTGGAGTAATGATGCTGGAAATACAGCTTTGATCACAGGAATAAATTACAGTTTAAAATATATCACAATAGAAAACAGTTATTTTAAATTGTAATATATTTCACAATTTGCATTTTTTTTGCTCAAATAAATGCAGCCTTGCTGAGCAGAAGAGACTTCTTTCAAAACATAAAAAAATCTTAAAAGGTAGTGTATTTATTAGGTTTTATGGTTTAAAATTTGTGGCTCTATTTTCATATTCAAGCCCGATATGAAAATTTATGAAAATAAACGATCAGCTAAAAAAATTCAAGCATGTGAAATTTTCAGTTACGACAAAAACCCTCATTTACAACATCCTACCTAAATTGAAAT